GTCTGTTAAAGATCATTTCATCTGGAAAGCATCTGCTGTGTACAAACATCTGATAGATGTCTTTGAGTCATCAGTTTTACATGCATTCAAAATCATAAACATCTTAAAGACATTTTCTCTTTTTGCACTTGAATGGCTTAAAGTAGTGATGGGCGCTTTTGAAGCATTGCTTCGTGAAGCTTCGAAACCTTTGTAAATCATTTGTTTTGAAACAGTGGTTCAGAGTGTGTATCAAACTGCCAAAGTCACGTGATTTCAGTAAACGAGGCTTCGTTACAATCATAACTGTTTCGAAACGTTTCGAAATTTCAATGGCTTGCCGTTTCTTTTTTCTTTATACTTTCTCTTCACTATTCGAAGGACATTCAGCCCACCATTCGCAGGACTGGATTGAGACATTTGTGTAATTAAAAGGATTAGTAGTAGTTAATAGTCTCTTACTGGCCTGTTTAGTCAAGCTCTCCATAAAGCAAACAAAACAAGCCCTGCAAATTAAGAATTATTTTTAAAAAGCACATATTATACACTTAATATTTAATAGTATTTTATTATTTTAATTACATTTAATGTATTATACTTTCAAGAAAACATTTGCAATGGGTTTGTAAAAGCCGTTTTTCTGCATGTTTTGGCCTGAGTTTTTGTTGCATTCACACAGTTTTGACCAGCAGGTTCACCAGCGTGTGGTGTTTCGAACGCTTCGAAACAGTGAATCATTTTGCGAAGCAATTGGTTCAATTGATTCGAAGCTTTGAAAAGGTTTGTTTCTCCCATCACTAGCTTAAAGTCGCTCGAATGTTTAAATTGGCAAGACTTAAAAGCACATGCAAATTATACATTCCATTATCTGTCATTACATAATAAACGCAGAACCTGCGGGAATAAGTAGAATAATGCTCAATACCCATGCCGAAATTCAAGCCCTGCTCTGTCTCCTCCGCTAATTCCTCGACTGTGAATGATGTGAGTGGCACCAGGGCCGTCGCAAGGGGGGTGCGAGGCCCTGTGCGTAGTTGACGTGTGAGGCCCTCTGCAATTTGTGTGTGTGTGTGGGGAGGTGGGGTTTGCTATAGTAACGAACGCAACTTTAACACGCATCTGATTGATTGTGATGCCGTGCTCACTGACATGCTTGCGCACGAATCATGGTCACGCACACGCTCATAAGAATTGTAAGATCTACTGCATAATAATAGACACGCTAATAAGAATTGTAAGACCTACTGCATCAGCAGGTGTACGGCTGTACGCACTGTGCGTATCATGAGCGCTCAGACTGACCTGAGATTTGCCCCGCAAACAATTCAATAATTCATATCAGACAAAATTGCATTGCAGCAAATCCTTTAAAATGCTTAGGTATTCAGAACAGAGCAACATAAAAATCTGAAAATATAAGCAGCTATACAATTATAGGACAAAGTTTTACATATATGCCATTATAATTTGTTTTATTTTGTACAGAATTATAAAATAAAACGCAAATTGTAATCGGGCCTGTTTTAGGCTTTTCCTTATTTTTATATTTTAGACATCCATCAATTATGGTGATGAAAAAAATGACTCGCCATCTCAAGCACAACGTTTTGTTGATATTGTGAGTGCATACAAATAAAACTAGACACTTTACAGTTTAGAATGATGTATTACTCTTACCTTTATGAGCAAAAATGACTGCGTATTTTAAGTTGTTTCCACTGTTAGAAAAAATGCAAGTGATGGCGCTGGCGCCTCCATGTGCTGCCCAGAGCGGGCTTCAGCTTCCACTCTCCACACAAACGATTGGAAATGCATCTAACAGCGCATATTTATCTAGGTTAAACATTTAAACTAACATTGTGATATACTTGAACTGTTTTATACAGTATATAGATTTTATTTTAGGCAAGTCGTGATGATTTGAGAAGGCTAAATTGATCAAACATATAGGCTATGATCAATTCACTGTCTGCCGCTGGTCATTACTTAAAAAACAAAAAAACAAACAAAAAAACGTACATTTAACGAACAAAAATGGCTCCAAACGTTTTTCTAAATGAACTTTATAAAAAAAAAACGAAACGAAATATAATCACTTTTCCATTACATACACAACTGAACAATTTTAATAGCTGAAACAGTAGTATAAGCTTTTTTTGGGTTTACCATTTTGTTGAGTTTAAAACGTGTGACACATTCGTTCTGCTCTCACTGATCATTTGCCCCCCCCTCCTATTATGTACTGCATAATAATAATAACAATAAAGCAATTAAATAAGTAAATAAGAATGCTAAAATAAGTTCTAGGTTTGTAGTTATTTTTGAAGAGTTCAGATGCTCTAAGTGCCATCTAAAAATTTCTTCTAAAATGGTTATTTTCTCAGGCTCCAATGTTTATGTTCAGTTATTTTACTTTAATGGGGAAAGAAAAGAAACTATTAATTGCAATTTAAGTGAAATTACTGAACCTACACATAGGAGCCTGATAAAAATGCTCATTTTAGAAGAAAATTTCAAACGGCACTTAGATGCTTTTGCATCATCATCTCTTCATATGACGTAGTAATCAATTTACACTATTTGAAAATAATATTTCATTTTAAAGGGGTCATATGATGCGATTTCAAGTTTTCCTGATTCTTGCTGTAGTATTGTTGCTGCCGCTGCCGCCATGTCCTGGAGACGCTGTGTGTTTCATTGTGAAAGCGAAAATACTTTGTTTGACCTTCCAAAAGAGGACACGACTAGAAAACAGTGGTTAAGTTGTATTTACAACACTGTTCCGGTACAGTTCAACCCAAATATTCAGATGTGTGCAGCGCATTTTATGGAGGACTGTTTCCTGATCCTGGGAGAGTAGCCTACAATGCCGGCTGTTCTGACTCACAGACTGTAAGTACATTTTCATATTTAAAGAATTTG